AATTATGCTCAAAATTCTGCAACATAGGCTCCAAATATACATGGAGAGAGAAATCCTAGAGGTCTAAGCAGGGTTCAGGAAAGGAAGAGGCACCAGGGACCACATTGTAAACATAATGGCTAATGGAGCGCACCAGGGAATTCCACAAGAAAATCATCATGTGCTTTACAGACTATAGCAGGGGTAGGCAACCTTTCCCCTTTAAGGGCCAAGGGACTTCAGCTCCCAGAATCCCAGGAGCTATTGGCCAACATGGGACTATTGGCCAACATGGCTGAGGCTTCTGGGAGATGAAGTCCCTCAGCCCTTAAAGGGGAAAGGTTGCCTACCCCTGATATATAGGAATGTAGATAGATAGATGGCAGTGTGTGTGTGTGTATACATATATATGGCAATGTGAATGTGAGAAGAGACAAGTAGCAGCTGCAAACGTCCTTGATACATATACACACATATTCTTACCTTTATGCGTGCAGCTATAGGCATAGCGCGCGCGCATGCGCACAGGCGTATGTACTGTGGCCCCGCCCCCCTTCCCTCCTGCCCAGACCTTGCTCCGAAAAGAAACCAGGAAGCGCCCGCCCCGTTTCTTTTCCCCGAGAGGCAGGTCGGGCCACGGCACTTCCGTCTTCCTGCAGGGGTGTCCCTGTGCAAATCCTCACAAAGGGGTCCAAATAAATGCCTTAACCGGGGATCCAGCGAGTGCGGTGTGGCTTTATAGTCACCACCGGAGCGGGCCAGGCCTTTCCCGAGGGTGGTGGTGCTTGCGTGGTCTTTCCTCCCTCGGGTTTCCCTTGCCCCGCTCCCCCTCCGGCGCCAATGGTCTCGCCCAGTCCCAATGTGTAGCTGCTTGGCGGAGCTGAGGCGCTTCAGTCTCCCAGGGACGGAGAGCGGAGCGGAGGTTGCCTACATGGCTTGAGGTCGAGGCTGGTTCTTATCTCTCTCTCTCTCTCTTTTTCTCTCTTTCCTCCTTTATTTACCGTCCCCCTTTTCCTTGACGTGTTTTATCTCTTTTGTGGGGTGCTATTTCATTTTTTTATTTCCTGTTCTGTGCCTGAAAAGAGGGTTTTGTTAGTATGGTTGGTCCTTTAAACCGAGGTTGCATCCACACTGCAGTTATAATCTGGTTTGATGCCGCTTTTAAACTACCACGGGCTCCCTGCTATGGAATTCTGGGAATGGTAGTTTGTGGGGGCACCGGAGGTGCCCCCACAAACTACCATTCCCAGAATTCCATAGCAGGGAGCCCTTGGCAGTTTAAAGCGGTATCAAACCGGATTATAACTGTAATGTGGATGCAGCCTCATCATTTCCCCCCTCCCTTTTTTTTTTCCTTTTGGTGTAATGACCTGAGATGGTTAGAAAAAAGGAGTCTGAATCAGATTTGCAAAAGTTTGGGAAACCTTTCCCTTTTGTTTCTTCAACTTTGTGGAGGAGGAAGAAGAGGCAAAGCCTCTTGGATTGAATGGAGAGACCTCTGCAGTCTGTGGATTCCTCTTCTGCCTCCTCCTCTTGCTTTGACTTTTTAACCCCTCTGCAAGAATAATATTATTTTGCAAGAATAATGTTTTGCAAGAATAACATCCATCCTGATGCATTGCATGCTCCCCATTGGCACTTCTGCCCTTGAAAAGCTCTTGAAAATTCACATTTTCCTCCCCCCAATCTTTGAATAGTCATGGATTTTATCATCTTCACTCCTCAAATTTTCACTCCATGAAGATACTGAAGCCAGGCTGAACATCATCAACAGGCTTAACTGTGGTTTATGAGTATTTCAGAGGTCTCCTCATATCATATAACCTCAGCCGGCGGTGTGTTTATTATGTCTGTCTGCCCCATTTGTTCTTGCTGCCAGTGTTACCTACATCTTGATTTAAGTGGAGTTTTCTTGTCTCTTTCTCTGGGGTAATATTTTGGGAATGTCTCAGCCGGTGTATTGTGTATATTGTATTTAAGTGATGAATTTGCTATGCCTGATTAATTTAGGACTGTCATACAGCGCTTACACACAAACCCTTAATGGGTTGGATCTGGAATTAGTTGTAGTAGCAGTTGTTGAACGTAAGATACTACTACATTTCTTTGCAGCGCCTCTTAATGTACTTTTTTATTTGCTTTACAGTTCTTACCAGACATGAAACCACTTAGTCTTAGACTTACGATTGCCATTTGGACTCAGAAAGACCGGGTATCCATTTCGCAGATAAATACATCCATTAATAAAATACTTGCATGGGCTTCAGCTATACAAAGCTCTATGTTACAAGTCCCCATGCTAGTTAAGGGTGGTGGGAGTTGTTGTTGTGTTGTGTTGCGTTATTGTTATTATTATTATTAAAGTTTATTTTTAGAGCGTTGTCAGTGTACTCAGCGCTGTGTGCCTTCAAGTTGTTTCCAACGTAAGGCGATCCTAAGGCAACCCTCTCATGGGGTTTTCTTGGCAAGATTTGTTCAGAGGAGGTTTGCTGTTGCCTTCTCCTGAGGCTGAGAGAGTGTGACATGCCCAAGGTCACCCAGTGGGATTCATGGCCGAGCCAGGAATCGAACCCTGGTCTCTCTAGAGTCATAATCCAACACTCAAACCACTATGGGCTCTCATTCTAGCAGTAGACCTATTGAAATAAACCATCTTCAAATTAGTCCTAATTTCAGTGTATCTAGTAGTCTTAAGCAGGGCTACATTTGGATCCAGCTCATTATTTCCAGCAGTAGCTCTACCAAATGGGAGTGACATATTTGCATGTATTCAAAACGTTTCTCCTGTACTCCTGCTCACTGTGAACTGGGACTTAATTCATTATTTTTGTGTGTGTGTGTGGAAGGGTGTAGCATGACCGATATTTATAGACTGATGAGCGGAGACATTTGTCACTGTCAGCCAAGCCTAGATTAAACATGCTAAAACACTCAAGATAGCGTGTGTTCACAGATACGGTTTCTTAGGAAGTCACTTCTAGTTAGATTAACCGGGTACATATAGTAGCGTGAGTCAATAGAACATAGTGCATAAGTAAAGTCATGTTGCAAATGTTTCTGAAAGTAACAGTGCATCTTCTAAGATTATATTTGTTTTTGATTTTGCTTCTCTCTGGCTGTGGTTTAGCTGTCATTTGTGCAAAGGCTCTGGATTCGTATTGTAGTATAGGTAGGATATTTGATATTACAGTATTTGGGTTAACAGTTTGCAGACTGTTAGCTCTGTGAAATTAAGGTGAGGAAGCTGTAAAACCTGGAGTCCTCTTTTATCTGTTTCATAGACTCCTTTTTGGATCAATGGAAGTATGAGGGGAGTTGCAGACTGCCAGAAATAGTGCAAATCGAGTCCACTTTTAGGGTTAGGGTTAGTGCTAGGGAATGATGGGAATTTTTTTTTTCTGAGACATTGAGCCTTCTCTGTCAGGGAGCTCTGGTGCCACAGTAAACTATAGTTCCCATGATTCCCTAACCCTAACCCTAAAAGTGGACTCAATTTGCACTATTTCTGGCAGTCTGCAACCTCCCAGACTTTTGTTTAGGAGGTGTGCTCTCATCTGTATTTTTGGGAATATAGACTGCTGAACTACAAACTCTGTCCTGTGTTCCAGAGGCCACAGTAGTAGATAGCTTGACTACAGGGAAGAATACAAAGCCAACCAAGCAAGAAATACAGTGGGAGAAGTGACACACAGTCAGAGAATGATATGGATTATTTATTTGGGGATTTCTTGCAAGGTTAGGCCATAGGAACCCCCCCCCCTTTCTCAGTTTGAAGGTCATTTTGTATTGGGCTGCATTGATTATCACTAACCCACATTTCTAATGGGGTTAGCTGAACATGCTAACTGTAAAATAGTCTCAAGGTGGACAACTGCTTTTGCTTTAAAGTTTTTTTAAAGTTAAAATACCTAAAATTAGCTGCTTCAAACAAAAATCCACCAAACAGTGATACCTTTATTGGCCAACCGAAATGCACAATAAAGGTATCGTTTGGTGGATTTTTGTTTGAATTTGCTAAATGGACAACACAGATACCTCTGCATATTTTCTAAAATTAGCTACGTTCAACTAGAATAGATTAAATAATACCTGCTGTTAATTAAATGTTAATGTTTCATTAAATGTTAGTAAATCCATTAAAATTCTACCTGTTCATTATTAACAAACAAAACCCACCTTTCATGCTTGATGTGTTATGATTATATGTTCAATGTAGTTAAATTGATCCTAAGATGATATTGACTATTGGTATTGA